TATTTTGTGATAAGGCAATAAATCTAAAGAATATCTTAAAACGGAACCCCCAAAAAACTTTCTTTAATGAAGTAAACATTTTAAATGCGCAACTTTTTGAATTAAAAATTCTCCCCCAGCCTTTGCGCCTCGCTCTTATTATTATTGTCAACATACATCTTCTTCATGCTTTACAACAAAATGCCATATTTTGTCTACATTTTAAATTAATTCTTACACACATTACAAAACTTTTGTCTTATTTACAAACTCGTTACATACATCGATTATTAATTCGGTCAATAAGCAATTTTATAAATGAAGCAAATAAACAAATAAAGTTTTTTGTGCTGCTTCCATATTATTGTTGATGAATAAAAACAAGCAAAGATTAAACTTTATTTCAACTTCGAAATTTTCTATCTTTATGTCATTCCGCTCTTTCTTTAGGCCACAAAAATTTGAACTTTTCTGCACCAAATGTTAACAATTTGAAGCTTAGAATCTAATATAACGACTGTCTACCTCCTTAATCCTTTATCAAAAGCAATAATAATTGAACACCCCTTATCTCCATGTCCATACCATCAATCATCAACCCTTCGACATAAATTTAAAACAATTTTGGTCATTAAATTCCTTTTGAGTGACCTATTTTACCACAGCACTAGTATTACAAGCTATTTAAAGGAATGGATTGTGTATGAATTTACCACATAAATCATAAATTTGTTAAAGGAATGTCATAAACTTTCTAGGTCACACTAGATACACAACATCAATTTAAAGCTAGTTTATTATCTTCCCACAAAGGACTAAAGTGATTCACGACATTTTTTTTAAATGAATGAAAAAAATTCAATACCTTAAATTTTATGTGCTTATCATCTCATATATTCTATTGTGCTGTGTGCATTATTATGAAATATGAGAGAAAATTTTAATATGACACGTGCTGACATGTTGGCAAAGAAAGTGTGAAATTGAGGTTTGGGTTAGTGCCTATGGCGCATTTCATGATTAATTCTGAAACACCAAGGTGTCATTTGGGCTTCATATAGATCCTGAATATAGAGTAAGTAAGCTCTTATTCTTAGAATAACCATTATTGCTACTCAAGGTTCTTTCCAGCCTCCATTCCCACCACATTCTCGTCTATTCCGAATTATTCAAAATCACTTCATTAACAACACGAATCAGCTCCAAAAAAAATTCACAAGAATGCAGCTAGGAAGAAAAAGTCTGCTGTGAACTAAGCACAACGGAACATGTCTCATTTAATGATATGATGGAATGTGCTTGAATGGGATGGAAGAAAGAAATTATCATCCCATTTTCTCAAGCATTTCTATGGATATATATTATATAGTGTAAACACTTTCATACTCAAATGGTTTGTATACATGCATTAAAACCTGAATTATAATGAAGAGCTTTCAAAATATATAAAAAATGAAGAAGGAAAAAAGGATTTTTATTAATATTGCAGTTTCCTGCTATCATTTCTGTGCAGAGTTGTAAGGAAATATGCTTTTAGGGGATGATCATAAATGACGTCTAAAGGGACAGATCTGGCTGATTTTTGTGGCTTCAAGGGAGGCCTTAAAATCGAAAATTGATAAATAAATGAGTAATCAAATCTTGGCTGCTGTAAGACGGTTCTCTGAATGAATGTAAGTGCCACAAGTTCTTGTAGACGTCACTTATAAACAATCCATTACTTGTTATTATTTTCTCGAATGAGTGAGTCAATTGAATGAGCTAAAACTATTACGTAGGTATATCAACTCGTTACCGCTTTAAATTCAGATGCAATGTAAACATTTGAGATAATAAAAAGAAGCAGAAAAAAAACCTCACACAAAGCATGAACATTCTTTTTTAATAACTTCCTTTTATTGACGCCAGAACTTCTCTACGTGAATAATAAACATGTTATCAAGAGAAGTATTAGTGCATATATATAAATATATTTTTCTTTCACTAAATCCTGTACATGAAAGGGAATGACGAGATATTGCTTTTTATCCTCTTTGTATGTGGGAATAAAAAAAATATATATTTTTAACATACAAAAGGACGTAGAAAAAAGTTACATTTTTGCATCTGATTGGAAACTTTTTTCCTTCTTCTTCTTTCTCTGTTATGCATGCAATGAGAAAAAAAAACTTAATTTCTTCCTGACGAGTGGGATAATGTTGAGGAAGGAAAATTACAGGTGGAAGTCACTCATTTTAATGGAAATTTGGCTGACGTCAGGACTATTTTTTGGGTTTTTGTTTTGTGTTTATGAGAATACTTTAAGAGTTCATGCATAAATTAAGCTCATAAGGGGCCGTTCACTTATTACGTTCGCATTTTAGGGGGGAGAGGGGGTTTGAAAAATTGAAACAAAATGTAACACAGGGGGGGGGGGGGTTTCAAGAAGTATGTAACATTATGTAACTGTCGTCTATCTTTTTAAAAAAATTTGTTTACAAATTCACACCAAAAACATTTTTTTAAATTTTCCACCTTTTTAATGATTTATGAAAAATTATCAAAATAAAATAAATTATGAACGTTCCGGGGGGGGGGGGTTGTGAGTTGTAACATATTGTAACAAGGGGGGAGGGGGGTCGTTTTTTTGCGTAACGTAATAAGTGAACGGTCCCTAACTTAGGTAACTTAGATTTGTGTCCTGGTAAATCTTTGAGTATGGCTCATTCCTAAATTAGTTCCCAAAAAATCTACAATATCAGATTCAATTCTAAACAGACCTATCAAAGTGCTTAAAGGCAGCTTTACTTGCAACCATAAATGCGCATCTTAACCCTTCCTACTTTTAATCATCAATCCTAGAGTTTTAACATTGAATGAAATTTCCATATAAAAATGAATTAATTTATTTTATTGAATACCTTCCTCAGGTTCATTGTCGGTGGATTACAATCATGCATACCTTTGTAATTGTTTACCAAGCTAATGCATAATTAATTATGGAAATATTTTTATATAGGATGGAATAAAAAAATTGATTGATTTTTCAATGCTTGAAGCTTTAAAAATTGAATTTCATTATTTTTTGCTGCTGTTGTTGACTGAATATTGTTAAAATAGGTATTTGAAAGAGTACCTAACATAGTCAACAAGCATGAAATTTCATGAAATTTGCATTAAAATGAACTAAACGTAATAGAATTATTGAGAAATTTGCACAACACTATAAATTAATTCAAATAGAGTATCTGGAATGTGCCACATCATTTTATGCCAAAAATTAAAATCATTCATATATTTCTGCATGAGAATTAAGGTAAACAAACAAGTCTGTTTGTTCATAAATGATTCACATTTGAGCGATAATTGATCATAAAGAACAATAGGATATGAACTTAACATTTTTTTCCCGATGAGCACAAAAGACTCAGCCAAGCGTATGCAGCTGTTAGTTTTCCATATTCAATGCATATATATTATGCATCTGAATTAATAATTTATTCTGCATATTCAATTCATTTTTTTTTTACAGAGAATCTGCTGAGTTTTCAATTATCTTTAAGCCTTTTTATGTCATGTGATGGAAACTTTGAAATCTGTTGTCAAGTTTAAATGTTTTTTTTTAATAATTCTAGAATAATTTTTTCAATCAGGAAAAAGGAAAATGGACAAATGTTTGCATTTGCTGTTTGAATAAAGAAGTTATTTTATTGTATGGATGAAAAGTTACTTCATAAATTGGATTAAAAGTTTGTGCATGAAATTATGAAAGTTTTATTAATGATACTGAGAATTTATAGAAAGTTTGAATGCTTAGACTATTATAAAAACTTGGAATATTTATTAAATCATATGTAAATCATGTCAGGAGTGGTCTGGAATTAGCTGCGGATTTTAAAGGTTTTTTCATGTTGCATAAAGTCAAATCATCTAGTAAAAGTTGGGTAACTTATCAAAATTATCAAGACAGAAGACAGTTTATCAGTTCCACACATATATACTTCAGCATCGCAGAACTATTGGCAACATTCACTTCAGTCTTAGCTCCAGTTTACCAAATCTTATTAAAATTACTTTATTTTAAGGCCTAAAATATCTCAATTTAGAACAAAGTCTCTATCTTCCCTAAAAGTCTCTATTACCACACCATTCTTTCCAGTCAATAACTTCCCAAAACTTAAAAAGTTTCTTTATATCGTCCAGAAAAAAATCTCTCAATAACCATAAATTTCCATCTGAATTACAACTTTTATGGCTATTTCTTGCCGCTCAATTTGTCTCCAAAATGGATGCAAATAGCATCAAGTATGTGACCTATAAAAGTTTACGTCTTCTTTTGCTGTGTAAGAAGAAAAATGTTCAGAAAGTTCACTGACTTTTGACTTCATGTTGCTAAATTTTACAATTTTTGCGAAACACAAAAGTGAAGTTTTTATATTAAATCAATTGTAAAATAAAGTTTAAGGAGTTTAAATGACAGTCGAAAGATGGAGTTTGGTTTTATTATGTCTATACATTTTATGTCGTTAACCTGGTTTTCTTGAGCTACTCAATGCTTCCGAGTGATAAAAAGTATGAAAAATGAGTCATATGGAAGTCTTACTGGATCCATGTTATCTTTAAACTCTTTTGATTCTAAATAAATACAAATTGAGTCTTTATGTCGCTCTGAGGAGTCACTAGAAACAAATCAATCAGAAATACTTGCTGCTGACCTCACGAAGCAGTTTGCAAGCTTTTGATGAATTGATCTTGGTGATAGAAAAGATTTTCAGAGTTTATAGCTCAGCTTTGTTGCATCACTCAATTTTCCTTGAATCCAGACATTAAAATCAAACCTTAATCAATATTAAGAGCTTAACTGTATAAATCACTCAATAAATTATTTTAAATTTTCATCAAAGTTCCGTTTAAATTTACAAGATTGTCAACAACAAGATTTATAACATATGCAGGCAAAAGTGATTTCAATGTAGATGAAAGAATAAATTCATTGCCTTTCATAGAGAAAAAAGAGTTCTTCATTAATATTAATTTTTCACTCACCTGTCTAAAGATACCGCAATTAAGCTGTAAACAGATGCAGCAACCGACACTCCTTGAATATACGGTACTGTCTTACACATAAACCATCCAAGAATCCATGCTGTAAAGAGAAAAAAAGGAAAAAGAAAATATGAATGAAAATTGATATAAAAAGAAAGACGTAGATAATGAGAAAAGGAAGCAATCTCGCTGTGTAATCAAATATAATGAGCCATAAAACAATTAAATAAAGATTATTTGCTGATTCAGCATAGCTCTCTATTTTTGGCTTTTAACTTATGTCTTGTAAGCAAAAAGCAATAAATTTTCTCTTCCTCTTTTATGTTCGAGTTTGGCGCGCGCTCTTTGTGAGTTATTTTTATCCGAAAAAGGAATAGAATGAGCAAAATGGCATGTATATTTCTTTTGTAGTTAGCTTATCTCAAAGGAGTTTCGCGATAAAAATTTTATAAGAAGAAATTTATTTTATGGCTGTTGTTGCAGTTGCTTTGGATCTCATCTATTTTAATGGATTATCGGGGTGAAGATGGGAGTTGCTTGATTTCGAGTTTGTCACTAATTTGTTTATTTTTTGGAGGGAAAATGGAGTCATGGGATGTTGATTATCAATGGGATGAGATCTACTGTTGCTATATAAAATACAGAATAGCTTAGTAATGATTAAAGGAAAGAGTTTAGATAGTTTTGTGTAAAAATGGCCAATTTTTGAAGGGGGTCTGAATTAACTTGTCATGCTACTCTAAATCTCATAAGACTCCCACCCCCGACCTTCAAATTGAAAAGTGCTTTAATATAAGTCTTGATTCCATTTTTGATCAACATAAAGTGTAGAAAAGAACGCAATGTTTTGAAATTTTCAGGACTGCTAGCTTCAGAATAAGCGATCTCTCCGAGCAGCAAATTCAATTCATTTCTCACATGATAACCTTTAATAACATTCCTATTCACCAATTCCATTCGCATTTCCACAACATTTCAGACTTGCTTCCTCAGCAAAGCAATAAAATCTGTTATGAATCAACAAAAAAGACCATTCTTATATTGACTAAATTAATGATTTTATATGCAAGTCGCAATTCACCCTTGATACAAAAACAAGATCTTCGCATATAATTCCGCCCAATGTCGTAGACAATATTCTTTTTGGTGTTATGTATTTTTTATTTCCATTTCTATATTCCACATAAGTGTTATTTATCACTATTAAAGATGCGAAACATCTTAATTAGAGATGAAAATAATTAATTACGATTTAATTATCCACAGCTATTTTACATTAACGTTATACTTCTTAACTAGCTATAAGTAGCTATAGCTTACTTAACATTTCGAGAGTAAAAAAAGCTTGTAAGTATAGTGAAAAATTTATTATCTCGGTGTTTATTGCTGTGTGTTTTTTTGTACATGAAAAGAAAAATTACAGACGATTATCCTGTTTTGAGGTTTAGATACTGCTGTTGAGACAACCCTTTATTGAATGAAATATTATGGGAAAATGAAGATTATGTCTTTTGAATGTAATCGGATGTTTGTTGATGTCATCTCAGATCTTGTTGTGAGATTTAATGTTGTTAGGATTAAATGATCTGATTACTGATTCTATTGATCTGATTTCTGAACTAGTTGATCTAGTTTATGATCTTGATTAAGCTTTGAATCTGTTGATCAATTTAAATCTATTTTAACAAACAAAAACAATTCACAGCAACTTAAAAGTTGTCACAGAAAAATTCCCAAAGCGTCTATGCCTTCAATAGCCTCTAACTGGTTTGATTTATTTACAACAGTCGCTATAGAGATACCTATAACAAGTTATTACAGTTAATAACTGCAGGAGTTATTTTTACATTCACATATCGATTCGCATCTATCTATTATAACCGATTGTTATTATGAAACAATCATTAAGGGGTAATTTTCAAATTTATTTACTTTTAATGAGTATCGATTGACCAATATAGCATATAGCTGAACTTTCAAGGCTCTTTCATTCTTGTTTGGCCTATATTTCTCGCCATTTATCAACTTGTGAGAAAAAAAAATTGTATATATAGACACTGAATGTGCTGAAGGAGCTTTAAATTTGTTATTCAATACAAAGTGTTTTGCTTAGACAGCATAGTGAATGAGTCGAAGAAGAGGATATGATAAAATACGATAAAGCTTAGGCACAGTACTGAATTGAGAATAATGGAAGTATGTGAAGGAAAAATTCTATATTTTTTAGAATTAAGGAGTAAATATGATGATGGCTTGGTTTATTTGGTAGCTAAATGTTTGGTTCTAATATATTTTTTGGCTAGACTTACTTTCAGAAAAAATGCGCCTTAGCCACCAAACGTAATAAATTGACAATTTTTCCATCAAATTTCCAAATAATACTCATTCGCGTTGGATCGTAACATACGGAGAAATGTCAATGAACTATAAAGATTTGTTTTTCCTAACCCAAGCAGAAAAAGAGCCTCCGAGACACAATTCTGCCAATACTGATGATAATATATACAGCTCGATATGAACACAACCCATCAATAATATGGTGCTCATCAATATTTCACGTTTCTCGTAAGCTCTATTTTAGTTGCAAAGAGAAACATTCTCACTTCACACATTCATCTTTCATTATTCAAGTACGTGTATTTTGTGTGTTTTATGCAAATATTTAGAAAATGCTCGACTATATCCTTTTGATGAAAGAATTTTGAAGAGCTTTATCTCGACAAGATCTAGAAAAAAAAAACATTTTTCATCAGAATTTGATATTTTTCCTTTTCCGATTTTGTCAACAAACTTTAATGTCCCAATTTTGATTTATTTCCGTATATCGCATTTCATGTTTTTTACGTTTTCTCGTTGATGGTAGAAAAATCTTTTTTCTAAATCCACTTTTTGATGATTTAAGAGTCACTTTTATCAGTCTTATATCCCCCAAAAGTGCCATTCATGATTGGAAGATGTACTTTTCTTCTTCGTCCTATCTTAAGCGGTTGTATATTGTGTTTGCTTAAAAAAAATAGGGCATTCAATATTAGACATGAGTTGAACAATTTTTTGTGGAATTCAATCGATCCTTTGTAAGATTCATTCAGTTCTCTGTAACATTAGGTTCGGTTCTCTGTAATAATGGATACAGTTCTCTGGAACATTAGGTTTAGTTCTCTGTAATAGTGGGTTCAGTTCTCTGTAACATTAGGTTTAGTTCTCTGTAATATTGGGTTCAGTTCTCTGTAATAATAGGTTTAGTTCTCTGTAATAGTGGGTCCAGTTCTCTTTAGTAGTGGGTTCAGTTCTCTGTAACATCAGGTTCAATCCTCTGTAAAAGTGGGTTTAGTTCTCTGTAACATTAGGTTTAGTTCTCTGTAAGTATGATTTTGTTTTATTTATTTTCCACCGATCTCACAGTCATCAGCAATGTCCTCTATTAATATAACAATATAATCCATCCCATCGACTTTTCTATCCGAGGAGAGCGGAAGTTGTAAATTGACATAGATATTTTCGCGTTGTATGAGTAAAAACATCAATCCAGATGATAAAACAGATTCGAATAATTGTTACACTTAAACAGATCCTGATGATGCTGGATAAATAGAGATAACTCACGACATTTTAATTAATTTCTTGTTATGTGAGTGTTTTGAGCTCAATTTTTATAGCTATTCTTGCCACGATCGAGCATTTGTTGGGGGGCTTTAAACTTTTTTTCACTCAACATTAAGTTGCTAATGCAAGTGGTTTAATGTCGCGTATAATAGAGCAATAAAAAGTAATTCAATCTAGTGGAAATCATCTCAATTTTCTGTTAATTGTTTCAAGTGTCAAGAATCCTAGGATGAATGAAATCTTCTTATTTTTACCAGATCTTTAGATAGTCAATGTTTTATGACACACGAATTGATTGTTCTGGATGTTTTTGCTCTTTGATGATTTAATCTCTAATGAGAAACTTTAAAAGCTTCTTGTAAATTACGACCTGAACTCTATAATTTAGCAGTGAAATTTTCATCACATTTCTTCTTCATTTATTCCTCAAATTGCTTTGTTCACAAAACCATAAATTTGTCAAAATAATTTTCATTTCATAATGAGTTCTATTGTTGCCGAGTCAACATTAAGGTTGTGAACGAGAAAATATAAATTCATAAAAATAATGAATTGTTAAAAAAAATGAGTGAAAATTTGAAAAAGAGGAACTGAGGAAAACCAGAAAGCTTAAATTATCCCTCGTTATTATTAATTTTTTCAATATCAACATTTTTAATGGATATTAAGCTCAAGATCACGTCATGTATTATGTGAAATATTGAAAAGATTTTAAGAAATAATTATTTGAGTAAAAATTGTTTGTGCATTGTTTGAGAATTTTCAATGCTTCAGGTAACTTGAGATTGTACTGCATTTTCCTTTGCTTAGCTTACTTTATGTTTCTAGAATCTTCATTTATTAACAACTTGAGTTTGAAAGGCTTCAAGTTTATAATTAATGAAATTTACTGAACCATACAATTTTATGATGAGTGTGGTTTACATAATATGTGACTAGGATGACTATTTACTTGACCTGTAGTTCAAATTCGATAAGAATCAGATTTATAAAGAACTGAACTAATTTTTCAGAGAACCGAATTAGTTTTTCAGAGAACCTAGCCTGTTTTGCAGAGTAATGAACCTGTTTTGCAGAGAACCAAGCCTCATTTGCAGAGGACCAAACCTTTCATGCAGAGAACCAAACCGTTCTTGCAGAAAACCAAGCCTCATTTGTAAAGAGTCAAATCTTTTATGCAGAGATCCATGTCAATTCAATTAAAATCTACTAATCAAACCTGATTGAAACAGAAATGCCAATAGTTTACAAAAAATTGACTAAAATTGTATAAACGGTCCTATACTTAATTCAACAGATTGTCAGCATACTCAAAAACAAGAATATAGATAGTTCAAACATCTCTTTACTATAAAATTGATAAATGTTTCAATTCACTAAAATTCCAAAAACAGTTCCTTAAGCTTCTGTATGCAGTCTTGATTTCCTTTAAGCACATCTAAAGACATTGTACAAATTTAATTAACTTAACATCATTTTGTTACATGAGAGCAAAAA